CCAAATTGATAAACCAACTGCCGAAGATATCATCAGCGTACCAATCAACTTCGTTGCTTATAAATTCCAATAAAGTCGCCTCTTCCGGTATCCTGTGGATTATTTTTTTGTACTCATAATCTCTGATTATATTCTCTGCTGTCCATTCTTTGTGTAACGGCATGACGCAATGACGTTTGACAAACTTATTTATGTGTTTGTTAAATACATCTTTAAAATTATCGCTTATAGATTTTATTGCGAGATCAACTGAATCCTCGTCGATACCTTGTTGGTCCAATTTAGACTTCGTATTAGACCAGAAATTACTAGTAAACTGGGCCAATTTTTCGAAAGCGGCCAATATACTTTTATTAGGTTTCCATGGCTGATATATGGATTTAATCAAGTCCATCGCGTCCTTCAGGTTTGTGATCCTCGGCGATATGTTTTTGATTTTGGTCAGCACCCAATCAAAACATTGGTAATATCTTTGAAGTGAGATGTCGGTCGTTATACTATCTACCTTTGTTTTTTCAGTTCGGCAAACCCGTATTAAATGTTGTAAGAATATCCTGTACTTAATAAGAACCTCCGCATACTTACACCTGAGCACAGTCCAGATCTCGTTGTATCTCTCCAGGACGTTGGATTCGTCGACCGGATTCCGGTTCGACCATATGGCTCCGAGTATTTCGGACATCGGATCCGTGGCTACATAGTTATTATTTATAAGTTCAATGAGTTTAACGTCTTCCATAAACCGCCATCCCGAATGACGCACCAACATGTTTAATTTATCAACGAGTTCCGATAGTGGTAATTCTTCCGACACAATGCTTGTAAAACCAAATACAGTAACCCAAACCAACGTTTGCAAATGCATCATCGTAGCGTCTAAAAAACAACACACATTAGCAGTATTCGATAAAAAAACTTAAATACAAGATTCGAAAAGCTGATTACAGTATTTTTTTATATTCATTTTTGTTTGAACACGTGCCGAAACTATTTGCCAATTATATTCGTGTCGACTTGTCGATTTTCACCTAACGTCCTAAACACGTTGTGTGGCACCGTTAACGTTATTTAAGGAAAAAAATATAGTTTACCTTCGTGTTACATTCGAACACAATTTTCTATCGACTTACGAATATAAAAACTTATATAAAACTTTTACTGAATAATACACCTGTAATAAAGAGCTAATGCGAGGTAAAAATGTAGCTATGAACGTTAATTGACGGTATATGTTATTTATTAAATTTACCATGCATTTTTTTCTCAACAGCTATTATTGTAGAAATGCAAAACTTTTTTATGTGCTAACTGAAATTCCTCTAAGCTACGTGTACATGTATACGGTTGTGTAGTACAAAATACTTACTAGGTATTATAATAACATGATGCAATTACCGGAGACAAACGCATTTATTTTCCTGTTTAATCATCATAGTCGTATAGTCTTTGACCAAATCTAACCTAATCTAACCAAATTATACCTAATATAATTTGCCGTGTAGTAATAATATTAATATTATACGCATTATTCTATTTTCTGGGCAAGCGAAAACACTGTAGACCTCACTGGAACTCATGAATTAGATAAGACAAAAATGTGCATTGAACATAGTAGAGGTATAGACAATGGTACAAACAACATTCTGCACAGCCTGTCTTCGTGTATAAACAAATTGTTCCGCTTCTGTAATTATAATGTAGTAGTAAATACAGTCAAGACTGTTATTACTACAATATACTAGTAGAGCTGCAACGGCAAAATCAATGTCATCGACTATAGTTATCTCTAAAAAATCTTCTTTGAAGATATCTTCTATTTCACATACTAGAACAATAATTAATAGCCTCCAAAATCGGAGTGACCGTCAACTGTATTGTAAAAACAGTAATTGTAAAGCAGACTTATACGTCTTGGCAATTTTAATTTTTAACTATACGGGTCATTCGCTAATTTCAAAGATATTTCATTCACAGAGAAGTATAAAAAATTTTAATAACTAAATGAAACAGACATTTTTTACTATTATTAGCTTACATATGATTAACGTTTTACTAATGACTTTAAAGGTGTAATAACTAAGAGGAACCTAAATAAAAACATAACTGTATATTAATTGTATCACTCCTATCTTCATCCGCGAATTGCTTTGAATCCAATTTACTATGGACTGAAGTTTATAAAAATAGTTGTAGTCGATTTTCGGTGAAACTTTTAATGACTAACAGACCTGTAATAAGGAGTGAATGCAAGGTAATTGGCTTTAAACGTAAATGGTAGTATAAGATTATAATTTTCGAAACATTAAAGAGTATTATTAATATTAACATGCATATTTTCTTAACAGCTGTTATTTCAGATATGTAAAACACTTATGTTTATAATTATTAATTTAATGTATTTACTTAAAATATTTCAATCTACGCGTTTATGTATAAGATTGTGCAATAAAATGCCACGTTGTCAAATTTTGCTTGATAACAAGTTGTTAATAAATAATGAACGTACTAGGTAGTATAATAACATAATTTTATAAACGGTTATCGACACTGTTATTTATTGATTTGAAAATACATATTTCCTTATTTTAGGTTACAAAAGTTATTTTAATATACGTGTACATGTTTAAGGTCATAAAACAAAATGCTACGTAGACAAATTTTGCTTGATATCAAGTTGTTAATATATAATTGTTTTAAACAGAAATATTCACTTAAGACGGAACAAATACAATATTATGTTGATTAATTTACACTGTAAATCGTTAATTCGGTGCTTAGTCTATTTTAATTATTCCTGATCGTGACCTTTCCCGTGTCGTCGTATGCAAAGCCCAAATTGATGAACCAACTGCCAAAGATGTCACCAGCGTACCAATCGACTTCGTTCATTACATATTCCAACATAGTCGCCTGCTGTGGTATCCTCTGGATTACCTTTTTGTACTTATAATCTCTGGTTAAATTCTCTGCTGTCCATTCTCTGTGCAACGGAATGATGCAGCTAGAGGCGACAAACGAATTTATGTGCCTGTTAAATACTTCATAAAAAAATTCGCTTATAGCTTTCATTTCGAGATCAACTGATTTCTCGTCGATACCTTGTTGGGATAATTTTGACACCGTATTTGGCGGAAAATCTTTAGTAAACTCGGCCAATTTATCTAAAGCAGCGCTTATACTTTGCTTAGGTTTCGGTGGCTGATCTAGCGAGTTAATCAAGTCCAACGCGTCTGCCAGGTTTCTGAGACTCGGCGACAGGTTTTGGAGTTTGGTCAGAACCGAATCAAAACAATGATAATATCTTTGAAGGGTAACGTCGGTCGTTTTACCATCTTCTTTTATTTTTTCATTTCGGCAAATCCGAATGAAATGTTGTAAGAAAATCCTGTACTTGATAATAACCTCTGCGTACTTACACCTGAGCACAGTCCAGATCTCCTTGTATCTTTTCTGAAAGTTGGACTCATCGACCGGTTTCCGGTTCAATGCAAGGTCTCCGAGTATTTCGAACATTGGATCCGTGATTATTAAGTTATAATTTATATGTTTTTTGATTTTAACGTCTTCCATAAACCGCCATCCCGAATGACGAACCAACATGTTTAATTTATCAACGAGTTCCGATAGTGGTAATTCTTCCGATACAACTCGAGTAAAACCAAATACAGCAATCCAAACTAGTATTGAAACCAACGTTTGCGAATGCATTATCGGAGCGTCCAAAAAACCACACACAATTTATCACTTTACGATCAAAAACTTTAACTGATGATCACTGTGTTCGAAATTTGCATTAATTTAATTAATTTGGTGTTTAAACACACACCAAAACTATTTGCCAATAATATTCGTGTCGAATTCATGATTTACACTCAACGTTCCAAACATTATGCATTACACTGTTGACGTTATTTAAGGGAAAAAGTATAGTTTACCTGTTCAAGACAGAAAATATTGAATATATTTATGAGCAGGTGTTTGGTGCGGTTTTCACCGACAAATTTGCAAGCGATCCGAAAATGTTATATTATTTGAAAGATTTATACATTTTGCTAGCTTAACATTTCTATAAAAAAATTGTATTATTATAAGTTTAGTAAGGAAACAAATGTCCCCAGCAAATATAGACATAACAAATTGTGATACGAATTTATTATTTCCTTTTTTGTATTATTTGTATTTATCTAGAGTAACATATTTGTTTATCTAAAAAGTAGTCTTTATAGGATTCCACCAAATCTAACCTAACCTAATTATACCTAATCTAATATGCCGTGTAGCGATAATATTAATATTATACACAGAAAACTATTTTCTGGGTAATCGAAAACACTGTAGACCTAACTGTTAACTCATGAATCAGATAAGACATAAATGTGCATTGAACATAGGAGAGGTATAGATAATGGTACAAACAACATCATTCATGAACAAATAAATTATTTTGCTTCTGTATTTTAATGTAGTAATAATTACAGTGTACACTGTAATTACAATATACTATTAGAGTTGAAACTGCAAAATCAATGTCATCGACTGTAGTAACCTCTAAAAATTTTCCTTTCAAGATATCTTGAACTCCATAATATAGTAGTACAGATAATAGCATGATATAAAACAAATTCTGAGGGATCGTCCACAGTATGGCAACAAGAATAATTGTAAGGAAGACTTATACGTCTTGGGCATTTTAACTTTTAACTGTATAAGTAATTCTCTAATTTTGAAGATATTTCATTCATAAAAAAATATAAAAAAATGTGAATATCTAAATGATATAGACATTTTTTCTATTATTACCTTCCTAATGATCAACGATTCCAAATAACTTTGAGGTTCTATTAAATAGAAATAAATCTAGTTCTAAGTAAAAAATATTAGGATTGTAGACACTTTTCGATGAAACATTTAATAACTAACAGACCTGTAATAAGGAGCTAATGCGAGGTAAAAATTTAGCTATAAAACGTTTATTGACAAAATGTGTTATTTGTTGGTTTTTAAATACATATTTTCAGATATTATTTCAGAAAAGCAAAAATCTATCATGTTTATAATTATTATTTCCCAAAATTCTGTAACAACGGTTTTCTTAAAGTGTTTTTTGTGTTTACTTAAATTATTTTAATCTACATGTACATGTATAAGAATGTACAATAAAATACCACGTTGACACGTTTTGATTAATATCAAGTTGTTATCAATTAAACAAAACTATACACTTAAGATGAATGAATACTATATTATGTTGAGTTAATCTACACTGTCAATCGGTGCCACGTCGCTAATCGTACTTGAATTATTTACGATAGTAACATTTCTCATGTCGTCGTATGCAAAGCCCAAATTGATGAACCAACTGCCTAAGATGTCACCAGCATACCAATCGACTTCGTTCATTACATATTCCAACAAAGTCGCCTGCTGCGGTAGCCTCTGGATTATCTTTTTGTACTCATAGTCCCTATTTAAATTATCGGCTGTCCATTCTTTGTGTAACGGCATGACACAATAACGAGCGACGAACGTATTTACACTATTGTGAAACACTTCTCTAATATGTTCGGTAATGGATCTTAGTTCGAGATCGACTAAATTCTCGTGGATACCTTGTCGATTCAATTTAGACACCGTATCTCGCCGTATAGTTTTAGTAAACTCGGCCAAATTATCATAAGCGACATTTATGCTTTGCCTAGGTTTGAATTGCGGATCTAGCGAGTTAATCAAGTCCATCGCGTCCGTCAGGTTTCTGAGACTCGGCGACACGTTTTCGAGTTTGGTCAGCACCGAATCAAAACAATGGTAATATCTTTGAAGGGAACTGTTGGTCGTTTGACGACTTATCTTTTTTTTTTCATTTCGACAAACCCGTATTAAATGTTGTAAGAATATCTTGTACTTGATAATAACCTCCGCGTACTTACATCTGAGCACAGTCCAGATCTCCGTGTATCTTTCCAGGACGTTGGATTCGTCGACCGGTTTCCGGTTCGCCCATACGGCTCCTAGTATTTCGGACATAGGGTCCGTTGTTATTAAGCGGTGATTTATAAGTTTTATGATTTTAACGTCTTCCATAAACCGCCATCCCGAATGATGAACCAACATGTTTAATTTATCAACGAGTTCCGATCTTTGTAAGTCATCCGACACAATGCTTGTAAAACCAAACACTGCAATCCAAAACAATGTTGAAATCAAAGTTTGCGTATGCATTATCGTAGCGTCCAAAAACTATAACACAACACCAATATTCAATAAAAAAAAAACTAGAAGTGAAGAACGTTGTGTTCAGAAATTCGATTAAAATTTTATTGTATTAAAGTTTTGTTGAAACACATGCCGAAACTATTTGTCAATAATATGACGTCGAGGCCATGATTGACGTACGTCAACCTCATGCGCTCCGCCTTAAAGTTATTGGCGAAAAGTCAATTTACGTTTGTCTTACAGCAAACATTAAACATATTTATTATCATGTGTTAGGTGTGGTTTCACTAGATATTGACTGACAAATTTATACTTTTTTTTAGCATAAAATATATTCTAAGATTTTTTATGATTGTAGGTTTAGTAGAATATAAGAGCGTTGCCAGCAAATTTAGACTGTTATAAGTGTAGTAATAATTAATTATTTCTTAGTTTTTTATTTTTGTAGTGTAAACGATTTGTTTTTTAAGATGTTAATCATATAAGCTTGGATTAAACGTTTCGCTTGAATAACTTGATACTGAAAACTTGATTTGCAATAGTTTTCTACCGGAAGACAATTTAATGATATATCATTTATCGATAAATTATTAAACTGTAGAAAAAATTGTCTAGAAATACTTAGAGAAAATTAGTTGGCACGTTCCCGTTTAAAATTGTCGTTCTACGACTACTATTTATGAACCTTTCCACTCTCAGGCAAACAACTTTAATGAGCCCCCAAGCCGTATATTAAGGAAATAGAACTGTATAGCTCTCGATTTTAATTTTGAAAGCGAATCTAAACTTCGCCTTTCGTGTCTGAGTCACGGGTAAATAACTGTTACTATAAAATTTATCGAAAAAATTAACAAATCGTCGTCATGCCATCGTTTTGGCCAAAACATGTATTTAAGACTATCCTATCGTCATAGATTGCAAAGAAATTATAGATCAGAAATAATCACTATTCACGAGCCAGAGGGCTAAAGCATGTTCCATGTTTTATAAATTTAGACGTAAGACTTTAAGAGTAGACTGTAACTTTTTTCTATTATTAGCTTACTTATGATAACGTTTCCTAATGACTTTGAGGTTCCAATAATTAATAGTTACCTAAATAAAAACAAATTTTTATATTAATTTTATCCCTCCTGTCCTCATACACGAATTGCCTGGAACCCAATATTCTATGGACTAAAGGTTATAAAAAATTTGTAATTAAATTTTACTCCAAGGTTAATGCCGCTTTTCGATGAAACATTGAATGACTAACGGACCTGTAAAAATGTGCGAATGCAAAGTAAAAAATTAAATTAATTATAAATTTAAAAATATAGATTTTAAACACTTTGTAGTATAAGATTATAATTTTGTAAACGCATATTGACAGTATAATTAATTTTAATATACAAAATGTCTTAACAGCGATTACTTCTTAAATGCAAACCTTTTTTATGTTGATAATTATTATTTCCTAAAATTCAGTAACAGCAGTTCGCCTTATTGTTTTATGTGTTTACTTAAATTATTTTAATCTACGTGTAACATGTATAAGGTTATAAAATAAAATGCCACGTTGACAAATTTTGCTTGATATCAAGTTGTAAATAAATAACTGTGTTATAATAACAGAAATATGCAATTAAGATAATGGAATGAATACAATATTATGTTGAGTTAATCTACACTGTCAATGGGTGCCACGTCGCTAATCGTACTTGAATTATTTACGATAGTAACATTTCCCGTGCCGTCGTATGCAAATCCCAAATTGATGAACCAACTGCCTATGATATCATTAGCGTACCAATCGACTTCGTTCATTACATATTCCAACAGAGTCGCCTGCTCCGGTATCCTCTGGATTATCTTTTTGTACTCATAGTCCCTAATTAAATTCTCGGCTGTCCATTCTTTGTGTAACGGCATGACGCAATAACGGGCGACGAACGTCTTTACGTAATTCTGAAACACTTCTCTAATATGTTCGGAAATAGATCTTAGTTCGAGATCGACTAAATTATCGTGGATACCTTGTCGATTCAATTTAGAAACCGTATCTCGCCGTATAGTTTTAGTAAACTCGGCCAATTTATCATAAGCGACATTTATACTTTGCCTAGGTTTGAATTGCGGATCTAGCGAGTTAATCAAGTCCATCGCGTCCGTCAGGTTTCTGAGACTCGGCGACACGTTTTCGAGTTTGGTCAGCACCGAATCAAAACAATGGTAATATCTTTGAAGGGAACTGTTGGTCGTTTGACGACTTATCTTTTTTTTTTCATTTCGACAAACCCGTATTAAATGTTGTAAGAATATCTTGTACTTGATAATAACCTCCGCGTACTTACATCTGAGCACAGTCCAGATCTCCGTATATCTTTCCAGGACGTTGGATTCGTCGACCGGTTTCCGGTTCTCCCATACGGCTCCTAGTATTTCGGACATAGGGTCCGTTGTTATTGTGCAGTGATTTATAAGTTTTATGATTTTAACGTCTTCCATAAACCGCCATCCCGAATGATGAACCAACATGTTTAATTTGTTAACGAGTTCCGATCTTTGTAAGTCATCCGACACAATGCTTGTAAAACCAAACACTGCAATCCAAAACAATGTTGAAATCAAAGTTTGCGTATGCATTATCGTAGCGTCCAAAAACTATAACACAACACCAATATTCAATAAAAAAAAAACTATGAGTGAAGAACGTTGTGTTCAGAAATTCGATTAAAATTTGTATTATATTAACACATGCCGAAACTATTTGTCAATAATATGAGCGTCGATTGTTTTTTGTACCAGAAGACAATTTAATGATATATCATTTATCGATAAATTAATAAACTGTAGAAAAAATTGTCTAGAAATACTTGAGAAAATTAGTTGGCACGTTCTTGTTTAAAATTGTCGTTCTACGACTACTATTTATGAACCTTTCCACTCTCAGGCAAACAGCTTTAATGAGCTTCCAAGCCGTATATTAAGGGAATAGAACTATATTGCTCTCGATTTTAATTTTGAAAGCGAATCTAAACTTAGCCTTTTGTGTCTGAGTCACGGGTAAATAACTGTTACTATAAAATTTTCGAAATAATAACGAATCGTCGTCATGCCATCGTTTTGGCCAAAACATGTATTTAAGACTATCCTATCGTCATAGATTGCAAAGAAATTGTAGATCAGAAATAATCACTATTCAAGAGCCAGAGGGCTAAAGCATGTTCCATGTTTTATAAATTTAGCCGTAAGACTTTAAGAGTAGACTGCAACTTTTTTTTATTATTAGATTACTTATGATATCGTTTCCTAATGACTTTGAGGTTCCAATAATTAATAGTTACCTCATCCACGAATTGCCTGGAACCCAATATTTTATGGAATAAAGATTATAAAAATCTGTAATTAAATTTTACTCCAATGGTTAAAACCGCTTTTTGGTGAAACATTTAATGACAAACGGACCTGTAAAAATGAGCGAATGTAAAGAAAAAAATAAAAATATAGATTTCAAACACTTTGTGATATAAGATTATAATTTTGTAAACGCATATTGAAAGTATAATTAATTTTAATATACAAAATGTCTTAACAGCTATTACTTCTTAAATGCAAACCTTTTTTTGTTGATAATTATTATTTCCTAAAATTCAGTAACAGTAGTTCGCTTTGTTGTTTTATGTGTTTACTTAAATTATTTTAATCTACGTGTACATGTATAAGGTTATAAAATAAAATGCCACGTTGACAAATTTTGCTTAATATCAAGTTGTTTATAAATAATTGTTTTAAACAAAAATATTCATTTAACACAGAATGAATATAATATTATGATGATTAGTTTACACTGTAAATCGTAAGTATATTTTAATTATTCCTGATCGTGATTTTTCCCGTGTCGTCGTATGCAAAGCCCAAATTGATGAACCAACTGCCTAAGATGTCACCAGCATACCAATCAACTTCGTTCATTACATATTCCAATAAAGTCGCCTGCTGCGGTAACCTCTGGATTATCTTTTTGTACTCATAATCTCTGTTTAAATTTTCTGCTGTCCATTCTCTGTGCATCGGCATAATGCAATAACGGGCGACAAACGGGTTTACGATATTGTGAAACACATTCCCGATATACTGGCTTATGGAAAATAATTCGAGATCCACCAAATCCTCGTTGACACCTTGCTGAACCAATTTAGACCACGTATCATCCCGTAAAGTTGTAGTGAATTCGGCCAATTTTTCGTAAGCTAGCATTATATATTTCTTAGGTTTGCATAGCGGATTTAGCGAGTTAATCAATACCATCGCGTCCATCAGGTTTCTGAGACTCAGCGACACGTTTTGGAGTTTGGTCAGCACCGAATCAAAACAATGGTAATACCTTTGAAGTGAGCTGTCGGTCGTTTTTTTATTTTCCTTTGTTTTTTCATTTCGGCAAACCCGAATTAAATGTTGTAAGAATATCTTGTACTTAATAATAACCTCCGCATACTTACACCTGAGCACAGTCCAAATCTCCTCGTATCTTCCAATGGCGTTGAATTCATCGATCGGATTTCGGTTTTCCCAAATGGCTCCCAGTATTTCTGACATCGGATCTGTGACTGTTTTGCAATTATTTATAGTTTTTATGATTTTAACGTCTTCCATAAACTGCCAGCCCGAATGATGAACCAACGTGTTTAATTTATTAGCGAGTTCCAATAGTTGTATGTCTTCTGATTCTACGCATGTAAAACCTAATACAGCCACCCAAACTAGTAGTGGAACAATTGTTTTCGAATGCATTATCGTAGGGTCTAAAAATAACGCACAATAGCACTATTCGATAAAAAAATCTTTACTGAAAACCACAAGGTTTAAAAATTTCATTACGGTTATAGGTAATTTCATTTTTTGTTTAAACACATGCCGAATCTATTTGCTCATAATATTCGTTCCGAATTCATGATTTACACTCGTGGTCCCAAACATGATACGATACACCGTTGACGTCATTTAAGGGAAAAAGTATAGTTTACGTTCGACGAACATTTAGTCCAAAACTGCAAAATATTGAACTGAATGTTTAGACCTTTTTTTGTATTATTAGCTTACTTATGATCAACGTTTACTTATTACTTCGAGGTTCCAATAATTAATAGTTACCTAATTAAAAACATGATGTATGTTAATTTCATCACTCCTGTTCTCATCCACGAATTGCCTCGGACCCATTTCTACGAACAAAATATTATGAAAATCTGTAATTAAATTTTACTCCAAGTTGTAACGATGGCACTTGCCCGACATATTATTAGTAATAATAATAGTATCTTGGGACGTTACTTCCAAACCAAACCTATGAGGTCTAATTGTCACATGGTCTGGGCACAAAATGCAAATATAAATATATAATTAGAGGAGAGGGAGTGACGCGACTCGCGCTAGTGGACGTATTCGCATCCACCTATATACTAATTAGTTGACATCTTACCATCTACCCGCTAATATCTTATTTTATAATTACTTAATTATCCCGTACCTTATTTATATTTTTTGTGCGTGTCACTCCACTTGTCCAAACTCCGGGTTTCCACGGACCAGGTAACAGGTGTAAAACCTATAAATATATTTATACATATTGTTTTATCGTTTTAATATTTTATCAATAACTAAATTCTTAACCGGCGTTAGGCCTTTTTAAATATATAATATTGTACGTTGCTACTTGAGAGTTTAGTTTATTTACTTCAAGGTACGACCGGCCCTTTTGTTCTTCTGGGCGGTTATATAAATTTACAAATAGTCTCTAGGAATATTTAAGGGCAGATACAGGGTAGCTTTCTGTCCCGGCTAGGGTCCCCAAATTTAGCCTTAGAAGGCGAACAGTCGTGGGTGTGATCCATTCACCGCATTGTACCGTAACAAAGTATTGTAGCCGCTTTTTGATAAAAATTTGAATGATTACCAGACCTGTATTAATGAGCGAATGCAAAGTAAAAAATGTACATTTTAAACACTTGGTAATATAAGAATATAATTTTGTAAACGTTTATTGATAATATAATTAATTTTAACATACATATTTTCTTAACAGCTATTATTTTAGAAATGAAAAACGTTTTTCTGTTTATAATTATTATTTTCCAAAATTCTGTTATCGCGATTTTTCTTTGTGTCTTATGTGTTTACTTAAATTATTTTAATCTACGTGTACATGTATAAGATTGTAAAATAAAATGCCACGTTGACAAATTTTGCTTGTTTTAAACAAAAATATCTAAATAAGTCAGAAATACACAATATTATTAATTTACACTATAAATCGTTACTTCGGTAATTATTATATTTTAATTATTCACGATTATGACATTTCTCCGTGTCGTCGCATGCAAAGCCCAAATTGATGAACCAACTGCCTAAGATATCATCAGCGTACCAATCGACTTCGTTCATTACATATTCCAATAAAGTCGCCTGCTGCGGTAACCTCTGGATTATCTTTTTGTACTCATAATCTCTGTTTAAATTTTCTGCTGTCCATTCTCTGTGCAACGGCATAATGCAATTACGGCGGACAAACGGGTTTACGATATTGTGAAACACAGTACCGATATACTGACTTATGGATTGTAATTCGAGATCGACCAAATCCTCGTGGATACCTTGTTGAGCCAATTTAGACCACGTATCATCCCGTAAAGTTTTAGTAAATTCGGCTAATTTTTTGTAAGCGACCGTTATATTTTTTATAGGTTTCCGTGGCTTATCTAGGAAATGAATCAAATCCAACGCGTCTGACAGGGTTCTGAGCCTCGGAGATACGTTTTGGAGTTTGGTCAGCACCGAATCAAAACAATGGTAATATCTTTGAAGTGAGAAGTCGGTCGTTTTATTATTTTCCTTTGTTTTTTCATTTCGGCAAACTCGAATTAAATGCTGTAGGAATATCTTGTACTTAATAATAACCTCCGCGTACTTACATCTGAGCACAGTCCTGATCTCCGTGTATCTTTCCCAGAGGTTAAATTCGTTGACCGGATTCCGGTTTTCCCTAATGGCTCCCAGTATTTCTGACATCGGATCTGTGACTGTTTTGCAATTATTTATAGTTTTTACGATTTTAACGTCTTCCATAAACCGCCATCCCGGATGATGAACCAACATGTTTAATTTATTAGCGAGTTCCGATAGTTGTATGTCTTCCGATACAACTCCAGGAGTAAAACCTAATACAACAACCCAAACTAGAATTGAAACCAACGTTTGCAAATGCATTATCGTAACATCCAAAAAACTACACACAATAGCAATATTCGATAAAAAAAACTTTAATAAAAATCACAAGGCTCAACAATTTGAATACAGTTTTAATTAATTTCGTTTTTTTGTTTAAACACATGCCGAAACTGTAGACCAATAATATTCGTGTCGAATTCACGATTTACACTCAACGTTCCAAGCATGATGCGATGACGTCATTTAAGGGGTAATTCTTCGTCTTACAGCAAACATTGGACATATTTATTATCACCGGTTTGGTGTGGTTTCCTCTAGATATTCACTGACAAATTTATACTTTTTTTTTAGATTAAACGGTATTCCAAGATGTTTTATGATTGTGGGTTTAGTAAGAAAACAAAAGCGTCCTCAGGAAATTAAGATACTAATATTATTATATAATACTATTGTTTCCTATTTTTATTTTGTAGTGTCACAGATTTGTTTATCAAAGACCGTGGCCTGTGTTCGTGTCTGCGTAGACCGTAATTACAATATACCAATAATGTTTTATTTTTTGTTTGTTTTACAGATCTCAGACATATTATGCTGTTCAGACTGTCGACAACATGGTCATATCTCATAATTCCACTTGTCGCTGTCCTAGTAGTTTGCACAACAGGTCTGCATCGCGGTGTCGTTGTTATTTGAAGGTGTTTTTTTTTTTTGTTTCAAACTTTAATTTGTCAACTTTTTTTCTATCACAGGTGTGCCGATCGAGAACCGGAGGAATTCGACGCCAGCCAAATGGAACACGCACAACATGTCCACGTGGGACGACGTGTCTTTTTTAAGCGCAGACTCCGATTACCTACCATTGCTCAAAGTCAACAAAACGGTTGTGTTGACCGTGGAAATGGAAAAAATCGAAAACGACACACTTAAACATTTGAGTGACTTGAAGGTACAGAGTGTCCTAAAACATGCTCAACGTCCAATGTCTTTCATTCGAGGCAATATTTACATTTTCAATCTGTGTCTTAACGTTCATTTTTGATTTGTGTGCGCAGGCAAACTACAGCAAATACTTCTACGACACGGATGGCAAGTTCAACATGGACGACGCCAGAGCTTCTCGGGCCACGCTGCCGCCGTTCCTGGGCAAAGCGCTTCAGTTCCTAAATTTCGATCAAGTAGTCTTCGAGGTGGAGACCAGCGTCATGTCCAAAGTGTCGTGTACAGCATGCAAAGCCGGCGCCGCTTTGCTGCAGCGGTACATACGAATGGGCAAGACCCGTGATGACATCAAGATTATGGCAAATAACTTCTGCAAGAGTTTCAAATTGCAGACGCCTCGTGTCTGCGAGGGCATCACCGAAATGTTTAGCGTAAGTGTGGTTCAAAGCCAAATCCACCCTGTGACTGAACAAATTAATTCAAACTTTCCTTTGAATGGAAGACATTGGATCATGAACGTGTCTAGATCACTTGGAACGAGATAACTGTTTCACCATCCCATCGGCACTTATTACTATCCCCTCCCTTTTGTGTCACGAACATTTCTGACACAAAAGGGACCACCCAGCTTCTCGGTCATTCAAACTAGCATCTAACCTAAACTTATTCTTACACTAGTCAGTCCCGTTTTCCCTGCTGTCGGCAATGCCTAACCTCATTTCTACTCACAACTCTGATGAACGATTCTTATTTTTTTTGTCCCCAGGGAGAAGTGGTGTACGTTCTGGAGAGGATAACGATCGGGCCCGAAGAGATATGCAGTTTTGTCATTGGAGACGTCTGCGGAGACGTGTACAACCCCACTCACGATTGGGACGTGGTGTTCCCGCCGGTGCCCAAACCGACTCCGGTCGAAATCAAAATTCCAAAAGTAACGTCCAGATTGATTTTTCTCTCAAACTTGGCCCGCGCGTCATGTGTGTAACCCGCATTTCGTTTGACTTCTACACAGGAACCGATACCGCAGTTCAAAGTGCTGCACTTGTCCGACACTCATTTCGACCCTTACTACCAGGAGGGAACGAACGCCGCTTGCAACGAACCGCTGTGCTGCAGGCTGACCAACGGGCCGGCGGCCGACCACCAGAGCAGAGCCGGAAGATGGGGAGACTACCGGAAGTGCGACACACCCAAGCGCACGGTGGATAACATGCTGCAGCACATCGTAGCCAATCACGCCGTAAGTGTTGATTTTGACAGCTGATAGCGGTTCTTGATAAGAGAATGGTGATAAGGGACAGCCGACGATGACTCCTGACGAGAGATCGGAGAGGGAAAGAAAGAAGGTGTAGCGGAGAAATGAACATGTTTAGCGATACGAACCTAACCTAACCAGACCTGACCGTAACCTGTGACTATTCTAACCTGACCTTTGGCCCGTTTGACCCGACAGGACATCGACTACATCATATGGACGGGCGATCTGCCGGCGCACGACATCTGGAACCAGACGCGGGAGGAGAACTTGGCGATACTCAAGGAAACGGTGCAGCAGTTGCTGACCATGTTCCCGGGGGTGCCCATATTCCCGGCATTAGGCAACCACGAATCGGTTCCGGTCAACAGGCGAGTGTCCCCGACAACGGGGCTGCGGTTCGTTGCTCGTTGTGTAATATTGTATATTAATAGCGTGTGATCGGTGGTTTTCCAGCTTTCCGCCAAGTTCTGTGGTGAACACTCCGGAATACGGTATCGACTGGCTGTACAGCGAGCTGGACACGCAATGGCGCCGATGGCTGCCGGGCTCGGTGAGCAGGACCATCAAGCGAGGGGCGTTCTACAGCGTGCTGGTCCGTCCCGGTTTCCGGATCGTCTCGCTCAACATGAACTATTGCAACAACAAAAACTGGTGGCTGCTCATGAACAGCACCGACCCCGTCAAGGAGCTCCAGTGGTTCATATACGAGCTGCAGAACGCAGAGTTCAGCGGCGAAAAAGTCCACGTGCTCGGGCACATACCGCCGGGACATCCGGACTGTTTGAAAGTCTGGAGTCGCAACTATTACGCCATCATCTCCAGGTGACCAAAGCGTAGGCTCGCCCGAACCGGATCTACCCCCGAACGCAGCCTTTAATTAGCCTCTCCGACTAACCGTCCAGCCCGATTAAGGGGCCGTTGCCAGTTGACATCACGCGGAAGCCCCGGGGATAGAACTTCACCAAACAATCTAACCCTAACTAAACCCAACCAAACCAAACTTACCTATTCCATCACTTTCCACTTTCTTCTCCTCTTCTTGCCCTAACCAACCCCTTAGCGAAGTCGTTATCAGCTGTCTCTTGTCACTGATCTTGACTTTTCCCTTCCCTTCCCTCTCTTCTGTTTCCTTTCTACTCCTACCCTCGCTCACTGACCAAGTCGAACCTCTAACCGTTCAGCCCGATTTAAGACGAGAAAAATGACTATATATGACTTTTAATATTTTGTGACAGATATGAAAGTACGATAACCGCTCAGTTCTTCGGTCACACGCACTACGACGAGTTCGAAATTTTCTACGACACCCAAAACCTGGGCAGACCAGTGAGCGTGGCATACTTGGGTCCGTCCGTCACGCCCTACTCGGACTTGAATCCCGGCTATCGGATTTACTACGTGGACGGCGACCGAGAACAATCTACCAGGGTATGTATTTAAACAAACCACTTTCTTGGCTCTTTTCCCTACACCTTAATGTCTGTCATTCAAGACTGGATCTGCAATGTGGATTGCATCTAATTTCTTATCCCTAGTCCTTTGTCAGCTGACGTGACATCAGTCAATGGGTGGAGAGATGGCACTTATCCTTTCCCTCCTCCTCCTCCCCCCGAGTTGCACCGACGGTCGTCTAACGCCGATATGTCTCTGTTGAACAGACAGTGCTCGATCACGAGACGTGGGTGATGAACCTGAGAGAGGCGAACCTGTACGATTATCCGATCTGGCAGAAGCTGTACTCGACCCGGACGGCGTACAAGTTGCCTTCGCTGTTGCCACAAGACTGGGACGCGTTCATCAACAAGCTGACCGACGACACGGAAGCGTTCGACTTGTACTACAAGTAAGAAACGGGGAGCTGACAAGGACTCTTGGCAATTAAACCCTATCCGTTCCTCATCCGTTTTGCAGGCACTATTGGAAAAACTCGCCGGTCCGACCCGCGTGCGACGCAGAGTGCAAGAAGCGCATGATATGCGACCTCCGTTCGGGTCGCTCCCATGACCGGAAAACCCTGTGCCAGGAAATCGAGTCCCGGATCGACCGCGGCTCCCGGATAGGCTGGGGAACGTGGCTCTACAACGGGTTCACCGCATCGTATGTTCCCGTATTGATCCGTATCGGCTTCTGCTGGACGCCTGCTATTGCATTGCTGGCCATTCGATTTCTGCCTGCTAGCTTCCGCTTTCGACCGGAACCGGATCCAGTACCTAACACTCTTTCCCACCTCCCACACACACACACACACACACCCCATCCACGAGCCTAGGTAAATAATTCGCATTTCTCCCCATTATCCAACTATTTGTTTCCTTCTCTCGTTTTTGTTCCTCTCAAGTTTACTTTCTTCTCCATCCCTCGCCCACTAACATGACCAAACCGGACTCTGCTGATTACCTACCTCCAATCTCACCGACCGCAACTGATTGAATTTGAGAAACCGTTCCAAGTCCTAATCTTTACCAGTCGACACCACGTGGATGTGGACATAGGACTTTACCAACCGACTTACTACTTACTTAACTTACCTTACCAAATCTAACCCCAAGCCAATTACCTAAAATCCTAACGGTGAAAAAGCCAACGATACAAATATCTCTATTAATGGCAGCTCTAAATGTTTCTGGTTTTGTAAATAATATATTTTTTATATAAGTGTTTGTATTATTTTTCCAAAAAATCAAACTAGTGTTCTAAAAAAAAAAATTGGAAAAAGTAATTTTTTTCTCTTTCCAAAAATCGGCTGAAAATTCATTTAACTAAAACTGTTTAGCTAATATTATTTCAAACGGCGCCTGGATAAAATTAAGAAGACATTGCCTATCTTTTGCCCCTTAACAAACTGCCCTTACCGTTTAAAATATATTTCAATAAATACACAAGTACCTAGTAAAGGTGTGTTTTGTGCGTTTGAATAATTTTCAATTTAAGTTTTATTCAAAACTGATTTTGTCAGTTTGTCTAGCGCTTCGATTATTATTTGTTTTAAAAATTATTTACACAGCCGTTTAACATGTTTTTCATTTAATATGCATTTGCCTTCAAAGTTATAAACAATTAAACTATATTAACCAATTTCAAAAAATATTTTTTTTTTTTTTTAAACTGCCAATTTATCCTTAAGTGTACATAGTCAATGGGGAAAAAATTTGTGGGGCGAGGGGACTATTGTGCTTATTTCGGGGGAAAACCCTCAGCCCATTCCCCCCTTAGGCCAAACCGTTTCTTATAATATGTAATTTTGTACTTACTTTTCAAGTGAAAGTATTGGATCCGCCCTTTGCTTCAAACGTAACAGCTACGCATAACACACAACGCTTTATCGTAATCGCTACAAATATAATATATTGTTATATAAACTACTATAACGGTAATAATGATTGTTAGAATTTTTGTAAGAGAGAAGAAAATATAAATTAACGAAGGTGAAGGTGATCTATTACCTAAATGCTATCACACAGCAATCTTCTATACCTCTTATCGGTGAGTGGGATATTTATTTTCTATAATAAATTATAATATTATTATTTACCGATCGGAGTGACGACGCCGATAGTCGTTTCTCTTCGTTTCGGTTACGCGTCACACACACGGTGGAAAAACTGTACAGAAAAATTACATGTGTTACATTACATATTAAGCTTTGCATTATAATTTTTTATAATACTATGATTTTCTAACCAGGATGTCCGTAATCATGTCCATACCTCATTACACGTACCAGATACCGAAATACCTGCTCGGATACACCAGGTGAGCGCCACCGTCGTCGACTACCGCCGAGCGTTAACGGAACGAACGAAAGTCTAAGTACAAAAAAAAATAACGCAAACAGAAAATATGTGATCCTGACCGGATCGGACGAGTGGGCGCCGCCGAACCGGTCGAACCCACGACGACAGTTTGTGTTTACGATAATCTATTACAGCCGTCGGTTGTCAAAGTTCTACGGTTTTATTTTTTTCAATTTAAATCGATCGGTTTATAAAAAAATTAAAAAATTAAACCTAAAGACGATAATCAAACGCGTATCGTATGTGACATTGTTTTAGGATATTTTAATATAATAATATTAAAAAAAAAATTAACATGCTTGTGATTGTATCATCATACACGTCGTACATTGTATCTCTCTCTCTCTCTCTCTCTTAAATTATTATATGAAAATAAAAAAAAATCAACCATAAGACAATGTTTATCATGTACAGATTTAATTATAAGAATTATTACAAAAAAAAAAAAAAAAAAGATATATTACAAAATGTAAATAAACAGAACACAAAACGTAATATCTTATCGTTTGTTTTTTTTCTAGGCAAATATCGGAGCTTACGATTTCTATACTGAATCGAGTACAGACAATATTCCAAACAAGCATGTTATAAAACACGTAGAGTTAAGGTCAGAGAATAATGTACCGTAATATATTAAATACATATTATTAGTTCCTAGTACGAAATAATAATACAAAACAATTAATATAATATTATTACAAATAAAATCTAACAGATCGTAAATGGAATATATATATACATACATATATATATTTTTTTAACAACATTTTATTCATCAAATAGGTGTAAAAAAAAAAGTTAGATAAAAAAAAACTAAACATTTAACGCGTCGGTTCGTTTGAGAGACGCCGACTTTACAAAATTAACGTAAACAAATATAAAAAAATGTATTTAAAATTAGAAATGGTATTATTTTTTTTTTATAGAATTGAGCAAATTCAAATTTTTGATTCATAAAAATTGATCGTAAAAAAAATTACACATAATCAGACTAATAATTATATAATAACATTGTCGTCAATTACATCAGTCGAATTGTTATAAATTAGAACAGTACATACATTACATATTATACAACAGTTTAGGAAGGCCTTTATTGTTGTTTTTGTTTTTTAAACAGAACAGACACAAACTTTGCTTGAAAAATTCACTGGACGAAAATTCCACTTAATTATTAAAAATATATTTTTATTTCGAATGACTGTCGCAAACGTTTAAGTAGGTTCATTTATCAGATCTCGATAACGATACAAAAACAAAAAAAAGAGGATTTCAAAAATACAATAGAGAGCCAACCCTCTAAATTTTGTATCTTTCACAAGTATTCCGAATAAAATTAATAATATTCTCGCCAAAGTATTAAAACAAACAAAAAAAAAAAAACATTGAAGGCACTGGTAACATATTTTCGTATTATCTTATTCAGTCTGGTATATTATTAAATTTGCGTTCAAAAAGTTAATCTACTTCGTTTAACCGTTTTTTGAGCAATCGTTTTTCAAAATAATTAGTGACTTCATAAATACAATAAATACAATTTTGTACAATAAATTAAATAGTTAAGTGATAAAAATGTAATAAAAAAAAAAAATTACAAACAAGTTAACTCTAGAATTTAAAAAAAAAAAAAATTAAATGCAATTGTTCGAAGAACATTTTTAAACAAAATGAGGAATGATCATCGTAATATAAATTAATTAACGGTGTTTTACAGTTTAACGGCCGACGCCGATTTTAAAGGGTGGGGAACGCAATATTCTGGATACAGAACGTTGAAACGCGTCCGTGGCCGATTAAGACGCACACCGTGAGATAAAAACACAACGCCGAAAAGGGAGGTATTCATGGTTTTCACAATAAATTAATTAACAAATAATTATCTTATTCAGAGGTTTCTCACAACAGTCTGCGTAGGTTGTGCTTACTCCTAGACATACTGGTAATGAGCGTCTGCCGGGCATGAGACGATATCGGCGTCGAACGACACTTGTGTACGGGCACGACGGTGTATTCGCACATGCAACTCGTGCAAAACGTATACCGGCAGTGTATCCTGTGGCACTGGGCTCGGGTCGATTGGGTGGGCGTCCACGACGACGGCATCGTGCACAACGGACATCGTATCAGGCGCTGATCGGGATTCAACTTTTTCGCTTCCTATAATAATAATAAATATAATGAAAAACATTTTTAATTAATCGACCGATCGACATTACATCGATACACGTCTGTGATTGATCGTTTCTCAATTACCTTTTGGAACACGTGCCACCTGTATTTACTAGGACTGACGGGCGGACTCCGCGGAGTCAAATCTCTTTTGGTGGGCGAACGCATGACATTCCCGATATTAGACAAGCATCCCTTGTTGATCATGGCCGCTCGATTTCGGCCTTCGCACCCTCTGTTCTCCTTGGACAATTTAAAATAAATCTGCCTCTTCGACTGCGCCGTCGGCGAATTTTGCACGGCGTTGTTCCAAATTTTGGACACCATCGACACGGGTACAATATCACTGTCTGATAGATACGAAAATATTTTTTCCACGACCAGTCCGAAATGGTTGCGCTCTGCCAAAAAATACATGATGTCCACGTGATCTCGGCCTTCCAGCGACGCTCGCTCGTGGCTGACGATTTTCGGCGAGTCTATGTTTTTTTTCTTCTGCAGATGGTCGTCTTGTTTTGGACATTTGTTTATCCGGAAACGCATTCGCAGGTCCGAAGAGGACTTGAATTTTTTCGAAGGGGATAATTCCGTAACGGAGGGGGGTTCCTCTTCGATGAATTTATTTTTAACTGTACAATCAGTCTTGTTGGTGATGTCTTCCAATTTCTTTATGCTTCTCTTTTGAGAAAAACTCGGCGTGCACAACGAAAACTGAGTCGTAGCAAAATCGGATGACAACGTTTGATCGAAACTCATGGACGCTTCATGACTGTAGTTGGATGAGGCGTTGGTAAGAGTGGAACTCGGCGTATCGTATCCGCTGTCATTTATGATTTTGTATGGCGTCGACGTACATAAAAAGGGCATGCACTTGTCGTAACAAGGCGATTCTTTCATTGATAAATCGGCCATTGTTCTATATTAAATACCTACAACAACAAAAAAAAGGGGGGAAACCATTATTAATAAACATTAAAAAATAATACAGAAAATTATATGGTTTTTTTTTCATATAATATAAAAAAACAATATTTCTTTATACGAATTCGGATAATCTATTTTTTTTTCTACAGACCCGAATTAACAGTTCACATAAATACGCTTCCGAGTATACCCAAATGACCTTTTGAACTATTATCGCAATATTTTATGATAAACTACCTAATTGTATAAAGTAGTACTAATTAGTCAGTATTTTAACGTTATGATTCATAATATTGAAGAAAAAAAAGGGATATACAACAGGTGGTTTTTTGGGTATTCTGACTGAAACGTTTTAGATTTGATTTTTCACCTAATGGTTTATGACCCTAGAGCTCGGACGTTAATGACCGTAAATGTATTAACATATGAATTTTAAAATACCAAATATGCAATTGTATACCTTTATTGAAATCGGCTGAAAAATTTAGCAGAGTTTTTAAATAGCCGACTTGACACGATATATAAAATATAACATTTTACAATGTTTAATTATTTAAAAAGGTATCAAATTGAAAACAACAATGACTATTATTTTAGAAATTTTGGACAATATTTTATAACCAGAATTTTTCGTTTCGATACTTTTCTCATATTGTGTAAAATTTTCTTTAGCTCATAACTCATAAACACGATTAAAGTCAATAATAAAATAATAACATTTTTAATAATTCTATACGTACAACTACTGATTAAATCTAGAAATAATCATTATAGGCAAATATATTATACAATATAAGTTTACTGATTTGAAAGATAGTCTTTGTGAATCAAATTTATATTGTATTCTGTAATACTGATTTCTTTAAAAAAAATATGCAAAATCATAAAACATCCGAGTTTGATTTATGACATAAGTTGAAAAATGAACACCGGAAAACAAAGTTTGTGAAACGAATATATTGTATTCGTCTTTTCCGTTGACTAATACTGAGTTTACAAACACGAGAACATAATAATAAAGGGTCATCCTAAAAACTATTTAATTACATGAACTCTATGAATTATCAGTTACTTATTATAGTTAGTGGTAAAAAAAAAATTAATTTCTTCACTTCTTATCCAAACAAGCATGAATGAAATATTTTTTATCATGTATATTTATCATAATGGTAATTTATACACAACTCGAACCGTTTCGATAGCGTAAAATGTTTCGGCCGAAAGTGAGCATATAAGAATAATAAGGTTTAGCCAAATTTTAATATTAATAAGCATCTAATAATTTACACTACCAGCGTAAAATTTGTTATGAATAGGTCTGGTCTTATTTCATCTTTTTTTTTTTTTTTTAGATCAAACATATAGTTATAAAATATATGTCCAAAACAATTGTTATATTTTTCATTAACAATGTGATTAACGTTAACCCCTAGGTCACGTGGATAACTACGAATTTACTAAAATAACAGTGTTGTAAAATATACTGCTAAGAGTATATTTTACAATACACATAGGATTTAATCGACGGAAACCTTAGGTACTTGAAAAGTTTACAAGACTGGAAAATAATAATAATAATTATCAACATTTGAAATAATAAAGCAAAAAAAAACTGCAAACGAAAAAAATTATTATAATCGTCAAAACGAATTGCCGATAAATATATCCTTTCTACCTAGGTGGTCGATAAAAAATTGTTTACTACCGTGTTTAATAGCAAGTGTATCGAATTTCGCTCGTTCGGCGTTATAGTACAAAAAAACCGCCGATCACAATATTACTAATTACTACTATTACTACTACTGAGTACTAATTACTACTATTACTATTACAATAATTATACTAAGACATCAACCAGTGGAGAGCCCGGGGATCGGCGTGACGAGAAATCAGCGTGTGATCGTCGGGACATTGTATGGTAGGTAACACATCATTAGCTACTCATCATTATACCCACGACCCGTTTTAATAGTTAATACCTAATAATAATAATAATAAAAATTGATTGAGAATAACGCCATTTACCTGTGAGGTGTGAGATGGATATAATAATAATATGCAATAAGACGTGCACGACGGTATTATATTAAATTGTACTGAATAATAATAATCGGTAATAGCGGTAATTATTATTTACTGTTGGTTAATGTGCCGGAAATTACAATTAGCAATAATTATTACTAATAATAAATATAAACGCGCTATAAAACCATCATCTCATAACACAACATGACACACTGCGGCGGCGGCGGCGGCGGTTAATTGCGGACCGTATTACACTAGTAAATCGCACTGGCAAAGGTTAAGTACAATATTATTATTGTTCATTATTAAATTTAATTACGTTTTTTCTCCTACATCACTCGACTGTGTAAAAAGACACGGATTATTATTTATTTTTTTTTTTATTTATTTCCGAAAAAAGTACACGACCATATTATATAAACGATTTCTAATAAAAAAAATGCCAATTGCTGCCGCGAAGGCCTGCGAAACGCGGAACGCGATTTGTTTGATATTTTCTTCTTAAATAAACAACGGACACTATATGTTATTATCAGGAATGTCGGTTAGATTCGAAACGGCAAAACATGTGTGTGTGCGCGGTCCAGCTGCCGCCGCCGCCGGTGGTGGGGATAGGCCGGACGGGGTGGCGGTGGGGGGGGGTGGTGGTTGGACGCCGGACGCTATCCCGGACCGTAACGTTATGTAGGTAACCGCCACGGACCGGTCGGCCAATGGGGAAGCTGCTTGGCTGCTGCGGCTGTTCACTGTTGTCCGTCGTCGGCGGCGGCGGCGGCGGCCGTGTACCGAACAAAACGCACAAGGGACGGACTGGCGGTTTTTTGAAAAATTTGAATACAATAAATTGTACGGGGAAGATACCAACCCCTACACCCCCCCCCCCCCAACCCCGTTTGTCCCCTATAATTTAATTATAACAATTATTGTCAATTGCCTAATAATTGGTATTGTTTTCGCCGTGCTGATAATATTATTGCGGAGAAAATCGAAAAATCAAAATATGGTCACAATGTTCGATGATTGTGTGTGCCGCGTTATCAGCGGATTCTGATTGTATGATAAAAAAAAAAAAAACTCAGTTTTTCGCAAAACCTATGACAGTTTTTTTTTACACAGCACAATACATATTATTTCGTCGTGGACCACTAACAATATAATTTTTGTTACAATGTAATGTGATCTCTCGATTTTGCACAAATTTTCATATTTCTACCACCCTCTCAAATTAGTTTTTTTTTTTATAAAGCAACTTTTGAAACTTAAACGGTAACGTATAACTAATATATTTGTATTAACTTTTTAAACTAAGACAATTTTTACTGAAAATGTTGACCGGTTTCCAAACCACTATTTTTAAAGTTTTAACAGTTTAAAAGTTAGGACGACGGGAGGGGGAGTGCGCGCAGATAAGAGAAAGTAATACTACACGTCTACCTTTACAACTGCCCTAAACTTGAAACAAAATTGGTTATCGACTAGTCAACATTTTTAGTACATTATTTTCAATTTAAAAGTTAATCAAATGTCCGCGTTACCATTAAATGTATACAAATTTTGGGAAAATTGTAAATCACAATACATGAAAGCACTATGGAAAAAAAAATGCAATTATTTATCAAACCCAGTGAGATACCGAGTGGTCCATGATAAAAAAAATCTCCTTGTATAAACAATGTCATTGGCTCAATAAAACCACTGGGCCCTTCAATTATTATGAAATATGGTAGATTTGAATTTCATTCATAAATTACTTAATTACCAAGTTCGGATATTATTCGTTTGTATAATATTATTATCATTATGATGATATTATTTTATTTTGCCCGTCGTGCCGCATAATATACAGAGTGATCAATTCAACGTACGACACTCGCTTTTTATTAATTTAATCACAAATTTTGTAGTTTTTTTTCTTATTCTAGGCACTGTAGTTTATGTAGTTTTAGTTAGTACTCGATTTCTACTGAAATTCGTGGTTGAAATAATATACAGGTTATTGGCTATTGCTCATTGTCTCGAATTGTTATCTTCAGACACAACATGGCATGGTAAGGGGATATCAATTTTACTATGCTATTAAACTGTCTACATAATATTATATATGTCTTGTTTTTGGCTGAAATGATTGGTTTTATCTTCGAATATTCGATAAAGAAAGGGTGTGTGTGCAATAACCTTGTATATTTCAATCATGCTAAAAAGTGAAACTACACATCTTGGGGTGGTGTTGCCAACCTTAACTCGTTTTCGACCACAAATTTCAATATTTTTTTCCGGGGCTCTATTAACTGTTCAAACTTAAACGGTGACGTAAAATATACTTTATTGACATTTTAAATTAAAATGTATTTTACTGAAAAATTTGACTGGTCAAAAATCAATTTTGAATAACTATTTTTTTAAGTTTAAAACTTGTGACAAAAGGTGAAGTGCAGTTGAGATAAAAGTTACTTCACACTCCATCCTTCTTCCCACCCTAAAATATATTAAACTATTTAAAACTATTTATTCAAAACTGGTATTGTGGGCCAGGCAAATTGTTCAGTAAATTGTTTTTAATTTGAAAAATCGATTAAATTTATGCACATTCGTGTGCCGTTTAAGTTTCAACAGTTAATAGATATTTGGAAAATACTAAAACAAAAAGGGGGGGGGGTACTTATTTGATAATTGTATAATATTATAGAACGATTTAAACCAAAGTATCTCCATTAAGATAAACTACAAAATTGCAATTATTTTAAAATGGTAAAAACTATAAAATAGTTTTAATTTGAAAAAGTCTACAAATTACAATATCCAACCGATACGACGTGGTCGTAATTACTAAAACGATGTATACAAATCAACGAGAATATTTTATTATCTAACGCGGGTTTGTTTTCCAGAAAATAAAACTAAATTAATAGGTACCAATAGAAAAATTCTCACAGCAGCTGCCAAATAGATCCGGTTATCATTTTGCAACTGTTGCTGTGTCGCGTGTGAAAATCAAGTAAATTTCCAATTAAAGGTATGCATTTATTGTCCATCGTATACCGACCGACCTTGTCATCATCCTATATAAAATCTGAAAACAAATTTAAATTTGCCATTTATATAAATATGTACAGAATGAATAGGTTCTTGTGGACAACAATAATTACTATCGCTGCTAAATTGGACCGAACGTCGAGAAAAAGGTTTATACAATTATTTTCATTTGATCGTAAAATTAAACAGGTCCTTTTAATATTATGCTAGAAAATTAATTATTGTAAAAATCCTGAGAGTATCCAAAATCAAAAATTCCTATTTATTTAATAATTTACAGGCATAGCCCCGGTGTACAAAATAGCAGTGCAATAATATACATAATACAACTATAAAAAGAACTTGATAAATTGTCTTTGCGTTTAATACCTACCTGATACTTGTAAACAAGAATAGTAGGTATGATTATTCATTATTTTTGATGTGAATAAATTGTGAGGGCTAATCCCCCATAGCATTTCTATAAATGGATACGGTGTGTTAAAATATTATTAGACTAATAGAATATTACAAGGCAGTGGGTATGTCCTATATAGAGAAGCACCCTGTATGTATAAGTAATTTGTACACAGTGATTTAAGCGCGTAGGAGGCTTTGCTCGTCCTTTGTCTGGTCGGTCGATTCGTCGAACGAAATGTACAACACACGACAGATAGCGGCTATTTTTTTTTCATATAAATTGCAATAGCAAAGTAAAATTGTTTTATTTCTATATTACAGAGATATCAACGTACAGCAGTGATTACAAAGAGTACCATACAATATTATACTCTTGGGTATAACAACGGCTTTTCGAAGAACAAACGGTATTATTTTGCATAAAAAAAAAAATGATTATTGTTAAGTACTCTGCGGTTAGTATGTACAAAAAAAAAAGAATAAAATAAAATGTATATTTTAATTTTTATCCAGGCTTTGCATAATATAAATAATTTATACGTGTTATGAATATATACATTTTTTTTATAATGTGCCCGGAGTACAGTAAAAATGTCAATTATCAACTAAAAGCAAAAGTCACGAGTACACAAGAAATGTAAAAATACATAACAATAATAATAAGATAATTAGTTCAAGATTTATATTTCAATCGTACAGTCACAACGGTTTTGTTGAAAAATTGTTTTCATGTAACAAAATATAAAGAACATAATATCTATACCTAATCTAAAATGTGTACACCTGATAGTACAATAAAAATCTATTTTTTATAACTTTGAAGTACGAATAAATTTAATTAGTCACTTTGATAGTAAAATAAAACTACAAATACATATTATAAATTCTGATATAAACTTGTTGAGAACATCCAACATATTAAAAATAGATTAAAATCCGTGAAAAATAACTTCTAAAAAACATAACAGTTTAAAACTACAAAAGTTTGAAAGTTAAAAGGCTATTTACCATTGATTTTAGAATATACTGTATTCTAAAATCAATGCTACTACGTTGTGCGAAAAATGACATTATTATTGTTATTATATTAGATGTGGCTAATGTCCCGTTTATGATTGGAAAATAACTATACACAATAAGAATGTCCTAGCTAAGTTTAAAAAGGTGGAACGCTGGACTTTATAGGAAGGAATATAAATGCTAACAAAGTTATTTTTTAATATGCTCTCAAGTCGTTGGGGAAGATTTGGGGTGAAGAGAGGGCTTGGGATACTAAAAACCTCAAAACTTAAAATTAGTGCTTTTCAAAATACCTGCATTAATTTTTCAGTGAGAGATTTGTTCCACCTCTCTGTACCGTAGTTAGGACACATTTTAGTAGAAAACAATTTTGGGGAGGTATACATTTAAATTATGGAAAGGTGCCCCCCAAAGATATTTTTTCCTTGTGGCTCAAAATGTCTAAATCCAGTTCTGACTTCAGTTGTAAATAGCCCAATTCCACAATTATTGTTACTTTTGCCAAACGACCTTAACACATTTTTTTATGTTCATTTTTGTTTTTTACAAAAATATGTACTTCAATTTACATTGAACAACTCCAAACATGTTAATTATAACTTAACAAGTTAATTATAACAAATTTATTTATACAAATATTTCAATACAGCTGTTGTTTTTAAGGCTATGGCTACACAGGTGTCGTTTTTTCATTTTGTGTCAAGTGATGATTGAATATAGAAATTTATTTAAATTTAACAATCGAATTAGTCTTTGATAGGAATAGAGGGTGGACAGTATTGATAAAAGAGGGTTGTTTTTTTTTCTGCAGACCCTAAGAACACCTAAGACCAGAACAACTACACGGCCCGTTAACCTTTAACCTTTAGGCCGGCACGGACCACAATAAATTTTGACCCTCGCATTAAACACACGACCTTAAAAGTATAATATTCTACCTGAAATCCGATACAATTCGGTACATAAATTAATATAATATGTAGGTATGATTTTTTTTATAATATTTACAATGATAATAATAATATGTGCCAGTCCCTCGTTCTCCATCTCTCTCTCTCTCTCGCGTTTTAAAAAATATATATTAATC